TCCAAGATTTACTGAGTGTAATTGAGATACTTCAGGTTAAAGATTAGCCAGAAGTCAAATAACTGGTTGTTTCCATCAAAAAAATCATAGGATCTATAGGTCTGGTGGCCTGAAATTTTTTTCCTAAATCTAGGGCCAGTCATGGGAAATAACTTTAGTACTTCCCTTAAATTTGAGCTTTCTCTAACTTGCACATGTTATCTGTTGTCAGGGACATGGGAATAAAATAGATTCTTGTTCTCCAGGAATTTATAATTTAACAAAAGAGAACAAACTAGAATTCAGGACATTCTGAACCAAAGAAATGTTAAATCTCTCAGCTTCAGGTGTCTCCTCTGATAAATGGGGGATTTGAAATATATCATTCTTATCAGTATCCCTGCTTTATGGTATATAAAATATTATCCGACTTTTTAAAAATTGTGTCCTACAATCACCTCATGAGGTAGGAATTTCCAGATGCTAAGCTACTAACTGTTGTTAACAGCTGGTGGGACCACGAACTAGGACACAGTCTCGAAATCTTTTACCATGTGCAAAAATGAGTTACCATCCTAAAAAATGTATTCTAACACCAACAACCTAAGATTCTGAGTGTTACATATATGGTCTCTCCTGCAGTCATTTACCATAATGAGTGTAAATCAGGCTAAAGCAGCCACCATTCAAAAAAGAAGTAATTAATCATCTGATTATAAGGGATTAATCAAGATATATCTTTTCAAAGTCAAAACTCATGCACCAAAATGAAGATTTGAGAGTATTTTCTGATTTCGGTATGCAGGCATAGATTGTGTTAAATGTCTTCAAGTTAATAGAAGAAATTCTTTGAAAGGGCTGATCCTACCCTCTTCTGTGATATCAACTTGCTAAGATACTTAATGAGAATTTATCTTTGTGGTTTGTTCAGTGTTTTTGGTCATCTCAGTGGATGACTTTTTCTTACCTCTCTAGATAGAACCGTATTTATCTGTGATGCTTACAAGCTCCTGTTCCTTCTCAAGTTTCCTTAGAAATATGAAAGATAAATCAAAACAGAGTCAAGAATCTCCCTACTGCAACCACCGGAGATCTGCGTGGTGACAGGAGGCCTGCGTGATCTGAGAGACCCTTCTGTTGTCCATATGAACATTTTGCCAGATTCTGTTTTCACCCTCACATCCTCTAAGTTCAGAAGCGCAAGTTTCCTCTCCTCCGTCATCCCCACAAGCTTGGGTTTGGACGGTGAGGAGCAGCACCCTCAGTGGTGACCATGCCTAGATGCCTCTCTGGCCAGGGAACTACTTTGGCATTAATCCAGAGCTAATTTGTTCTGTGGGGAGGGAGGCTGGAGTGTGGGTGAGCAGGAAAAAATGAGGTCAGCTTTCAGAGCAGTCAACCGTCTCTGATGAGCCGGCCAGACTGTGAACTACAGAATATTTACTGCAGGGAGATGTCCACAGTGGGAGACACTCAGTCTGGCCAGAGCCAGAGCCCCCAGCCCAGGGTATCAGGATGACACAGTCGCAACACAGGGGATACTGATTCATAGCTAGGCCCCAAATCTCTTTATCCCAGAGGGATTTCCTCCGGTCCCTTTAACTATTACTCAGAGAAATGCATGAATTAGTCTGCTCTGAAGCTGGAGAGAGGCGCTGAAATGAATCCAGGACGATCTCAAGTTGGTGGCTTATGTGAGTCATCTTTGGATGTGGCTTTAAGCCACTTCAACCCATCCTCGCCTCTTGGGGCTGGATCCCCCTCCCTGCTGTGTGCTCTGACCTTTGCGCTCGCCTGCCTTGCCACGGGCAGCGCACCTGTCTGCTCCCTCGCTGTGAGGCCTGCAGGACAGGAACAGGGTCTCCAGCCCAAGGTGCCCCCCACCGCCTCACACAATGCCCAGCACTTGGTCAGAGCTTTAAAACTACTTCTTATACAAGAAGTTTGCATCCACCTGAGATAGGAGAAAAGGAAGAAACGCACCACCAATCCCTAACTTCCTGTTCAGCAGCATCCTCAGGATTTCTTCCTCACACACAAATCTTCACCACACTTTGAATATTTTCTAAGAGCACCAGTTCCTAGTCCTTCTGTCTGCACTCACCAGTGTTGGTACAGGATGTGAGTCTTCTGACTTGTGTCTGATGGGTGTTCCAAGGCTTTGGGGCATGGCAGTGAAACATGAGTTATCTGTGTATGTGCTGAAAACATGACCTGGGTGGAAGATTGTTCTCTTGACCATTTTATTCATAGCAAAATCCTGAACTCAAATAGTTGATGCATGGTTATATAAATTAGGATACATGTACACAGTACAGAATAATGAAATATTTTGCTGCCATTAAAGATCAAACTTTAGAAATATACATAATGGCATGGGAAAATGTATCCAATCTAATAGATGAAAAGTAGAATTGAGACTAGTCACAATCCCACAAATTATAAGTGTATAAAATCTCAGGAGGAAATATATCCAAGTATTACATAGCTTATTTCTGGGTGACACAGACAAATACATATCATTTTTTATAATTTTCAAAATAATATACAGGTATTTTTAAAGTTATGAACAAAAAAGATTATCATTCCACAATGGAAAAAGAATGCAGATTGGGTAAACCCTGACCATCTTGACTGCCTTTCCGAAGGCTCCTGGGTTAACAGCCTGGTCCCCAGAGTGGGACTGTTGGGAGCGAGAGGGACCTTTAAGAGGTGTGTGGCCTGTTGGGAGGTGTTCAGGTCACCAGAGGGTGCTCTTGAGGAGGACTGTGGGACCCTGGCCCCTTCCTCACTCTCACATGGGCTCCCATCATTATGAGCTCTCTCATGACAGCACCACAGGCCCCAAAGCAATCATGGACTGAAACTCCCAATACAGGGAGCCAACACCAACCTTTCATCTCTGTAAGCCAGTCATCAGTTATTTCTCATAGTGAGGGGGAGCTGACTAACACACTACCTACCCTAGGCTGTTATTTTCAAGATTGAATGTAATGCACCCCTAAGATGCCATGAGTTCCTTATTATATTTATATAAACCACACAGGAAATTCCACGCAAAAGTTAAATGGCAGCTCAGCTGCAGGTCAAAGTAGGATTTCTTTTCTTTGGTATGTCAGGCCTGAGAAGGAGTCATATCGGGGAAAGGTGTTGCCAGGAGACTGCTCAGCGGACGCTAGGACAGTTGGAAGCAGCTGTTGTAGGGAAACCTACTCTCTTGGGTGTGAAGAGGTCTGGTGCTAGTGTGGCCACAGGTGATGTAATGTGCATGTTATATTTTGGAAACTACTAAGCACCCAGTAAATAAAGAGTTTGGCCACCTAAAACCTTCCCAGGAGAATGATCAGGGCTTTTTTTCTTTCAAGACATCAAGAGACACAATCTAAGCTCATCTCAAACACTCTAGAAAAGTCACCAGGAATTTCATCAGCCACTTTTAACTCATTTTATGCTCCCCTATCCTTTAATCCATGTAACAAAACTGTTATGTGTACGCTAACTTGTTTTTCTCCTAGGCACCAGGGCAGGTTGGCTTTTCAGCTTCCTCTGCAGGAAAGTGGGGCCAGGACACTGGATTCTTGTCACTTAAATATGGATGGAAGTAAAGCCCTTTTAGGCTGTGCTGGGCCTCCAAATCTCCTTGTGAGAGCCTCCATACTCTCTCTGCCCTTATTGCTTGGCTGATTATAGAAGATCTGGTAGGGGACTCTGAGGCCTCCAGAAGACAGTGACGTATTTAAAGGAAGAAATTTAAGTCCTCACATCACTAGAGGGCCACCCACCCTGTGGTAGCACACAGACAGGTGAGAAATCTCATGAGATTTTTAGGGTCATCTCTTACATCTCTAACATTATTTCTCCAGGCAAAGGCATACCATAGGCATGGCCACCTCTGTATCCCTCTGACAGTCATCACTGTTACACTCCATACAAATGACACAGGGGACAAAGTCCAGCCCTCCTCCAACAGAAAACTCACCCAAGAAAAATCAGAACAAATTCCGTGGCAGATTTAAAACCCGCTTTCTCATTCCTACAGAGAGATGTGGGGGTATGTACTAATTTAAATCAGCAAAGAGAAAAAAACTCTCTCAGTCACCTAAGCCCAACAGAACGCAAATTTCAGATAGAAAATGGCTAAGGTCTGTCAAGGGAAGAGGGGTCAGAAAGGTGTCTACACTTCCTGGAAGCACAGTGCTAGCACAGGTCACTGGTCCCGCATGTATTTTATCCTTCGTGATGCCCGGCCCTACCAACAGATTGCATTAAAACCATGATTATAGCGACCCAGCATATTTTTCAGTTCAAAATTCTCTCATTGGGGCTGGGGATTTAGCTCAGCGGCAAAGCGCCTGCCTGGCAAGCGCAAGGTCGTGAGTTCGGTTCCTGGTACCGGAGAAAAACCAAAAACACCAAAAAAAAAAAAAAAAAAAAAAAAAAAAAAAAAAAAAAAAAATTCTCTCATTCATTTGTCTTAATTTCTAAAATCTCTGTTAGTAGGCACAGCAATCTCTTATCATATGTGAGATATCAGACTATGTGTCTTACCTACATTACATTATTTAAATCTCCCTACTGAGAATCTTATAAATTCATAACAGAGGTTTGGACCTGGGGCTGGGCAAACCCTGTTTGTAAAGCCAAACTGCCAATAAGTGGACAGGTCTGGACCTCAGCTCAAGTATTTCCAGGCCTCCATGGGAATCCTACACTCCTAACTGCCACATCATGCAGTAGACCCCATGGCTGAGGCACACTTGGCACTGCCTGGACCAACAGGGCCTCTTAGGAAGGAGCTGCTGAATGAGCAGAGAGCAGGCAGGAGTGGAAGGTGTAGAGGATGCAGTTTCATACAGGCTGGTCCGGCTACTGGGCTATTGACAGAGTTGTGGGGGTCACATGGATTCATTAGGGTCTAGGCTGGGGAGTTCCCAGAAGAAGGGTGGAGAAAAGAAGTGCTGTTGATTTCTCTTCTGTGACTCTAGCTAACCCTGCTCTTCCTTACTCACGGAAGTACTTACCTGGTAGGGGTACAAGGTGACCCCATTGGTTCTTGAAAGAGACCAGCTGCCATCCAGGTATTGGTGGGCCTGAATGGCCACTGCATTGGGGATGTTCCCATTGCTGGGACTGGTGGCCATCTGGAGGCTGACCTTGGCCTGGTGGGTGGGGGACCCACTCTTCTTTTCTGCCCCATTGCTGACCCCAAGGCTGCTGGGTTTGCTGCTGTGCTTGTTGACAAGGCCTGTGTAGTTGGAGGTGGCATAGGCAGCAGGCACAAAGGCCCAATCCCTGGGCTGCTGGAGCCCACCGCCCACATGCCGGGACCCTACCAGGGTGGGCATGTTGGAGAGCGGAGGGGGTGAGCCAGGAGAGGCGTCATAGTGCTCGCTGCCAGCCGCCTGCTCCAACGTCAGCACCATCTGGATGGCTTCCTGCTTCAGCTGGTTCAGGTGTGTGGCACAAATGTCACAGCGGTTATCTCGGTCATTCCATGCCTTTCGGATGGTGTTGGGGACCTGGAGTTTCTCATGAATCACAGCCGAGAAAGCAGGGTCCTGGAGAAGACACAAGCCAAAAAGAGAGAGACTGTAACTGAAGGCCAGTGCATGTGACTCAGATGTCTGGTTGACAAATTAAGCCATAGATATATCCAGAGTCTGACCACTTTGCATCCAGCAGAAATGAGAAGCCAGATTGGCAGAACAGTCTCTATTGTTCTCCACCACGGGCAAACAGACTTGGAAAACGTAGAAATTTTATAGTGAAAACTTTAAAGAAGCCACAAAACAAAACACAATTTCTGAGTATTTCACCAACCGACAAATAATATATCTGCTAAAGAACTGTATAGATCCCTCCCGAGGGCTCAACCAGAAGGACACCAGTGTCCGCAGGGCATGAGGTGGGCTGAGTGCAGTCGTTGTGATCCAGGCACTGGGACCCCAGCTCCTGTTTTCCACCAGAAGCGGGAAGCTGGTAACGGATATAAGAGCTACTTGTGACCAGGAACAGAAATTCTGTTCTACAAAAATCTTGGTCTCCTCAGTGCTGCGTGCTAAAGATCGCTGAAAGAAACCCAACCACACCTACAGGTTTGGAGCACAGCGCAGCTTGCTCTAGAATCCCAGCAAACCTTTACAGATTACCTTATGTTTATCACTTGCTCTGTGGCCAACTGGGCATGTCTGAACCCATGTGTATCATTTTCTGACCCATTACAATAGGCCAAATTACTTTTCCTCAAAACTTCATCTAAAACTGCTGTTAAAAAATCTCAGTGTGGGGTGCAGTGCTGTGAGTTCACAGTCCCAGCCCTTCTGAAGGCTGAGATAGAAAGCTCACTTCAACCCAGGAGTTCAAGACCAGCCTGAGCAACGTAGTGAGATTCTACACCCCACCCCCTCAAACACTTCAGCTCCATGGCCGGTATCTAAAAAAAATCAGAAAATGGGTTTAATGAGCATGATATCTCCCTTTCATCACTGTATTTTGAATAAGAAAGTAGGATTACCCAGCTCTGCCACTTACAACCTTGAGGTTCTGTCCAACCTTGGACAATTTCCCTAATTTTACCAAATCTCTCAATAGGCCATGGCTTCTGCCTGTTGTAATGTAATGTGAAACCTGCTCCATGGTTTCACTGGTGGGGAAACCGGGACAGGAAAAGATAGTACCTACATATATGTTCAGAGCCAGTGTGGCAGCTTTGGGGCCTGGCTGAACTTCTGAGCTTTACCAGCTGTTGCAAATAATCTATGAGTCCCACTCTCAAGGATTATTGCCCTCTTGGCCATTAGGAGAAAATCTTCCCTTCTGAAATGTGTTGTCAGCTTCCATGGAGCCCAAGCCCATCAGAAGTGAATGGGGTGCAACGAGCTGTGGGTGAGGAGGGTGGAGCGGGGCAGTCAGGGTGGGCAGGAAGATCATTGGTGGGAGGATGATTCTTAATTACGATCTATCTTGATTATGGGCTCCAGCATTTTGTTTTCCCTGTTTAACTACCCTGAAAAGCTCCTCAGCATGCACAGATTAATTGATTAATAAATCAAGAGGCCTCTTCACCCAGCAGCAGCAAGGAGCAGCTCGGGAGGTGGAAACTCAAGACAGTCGTTAAATGATGGGAAACAATAGGAAGTCAAGGTTGATCGAGTCTCAGTTGGCAAAGTGATGTGAACCATGTGGGACTCGCCTTGTGGCATCCTTCTCAGTGACAGCTGCTTTGTCCAGCCAGTCCCCAAGCACGTCTCAGAGCACGTGGGAGCTGAAAGGCGCCCTGAGGACCATTCTACAGCAGGCTGGACCCTACTTCCATCTACAGAAAAAGAAACAGCTCCGAAAGGGTTAAAAGTATAGACTATACCAGATGTCTTGACCACTAGTCCATGATTTTTCACTTCAAGAGCCAGGCAGCATATCCATAGTAGACTCATATTTTTTGCACAGATATAAAGTTGTAAAGGAAATGCTCATTTGTTCAAAAGGAATTTATTTGGCCTGTGTATGGGCCAAGATATAGTTGATTGCTTTTTCCGCGTAACATTACATAATGAGAAGTTTCCCTTATCAATGGAAAACGTTATTTTAAATGACCATATGGTATTTCATCTTTTGGTTGTTGCATGGTTCATTTATCTATTCTCACATTCACTGCATGATTTAAGATAACGTGAGAAATCAGGAGAATGGTATTTATACACATCCACAGTCAATGGCATGTTTCCAAGTCACCAAACTACTTGGTTTCAAGAAGCCTCAAACGTATTGCTTACTTAGAAGGTTTTTGTTAACCCAATCATATAGGGGAGGTTCCACAGTAAGGATGAAGTTATGAGAAGTCTCATCCATGCAGCACAGTGTTTAGAGTCCTTAGACTCGGGATTTGACTCCAACGTGGGGACATATCCACTGCACAGAAACTGCAGGAGCCGTCTCTGATTCTGAGATTTCCTTTCATCTTCTCCTCTTGGTTTGTAGCACTGCCCCTTAAAGCAGTCCTTCTTTACTGAGCTTACTGCTAGCTGCTGCTCAGCTTCCACCTTTTAACCAATGCGTATGTTGGCTGCCAACATGCCCGGCAGCACACCAGGCTAGGGACGTGAGGAAACAGGGGCATGAATCCCATGTTCTGGGAGTTCACAATCCAGGAGGGCTTCTTGGTTCCTAGATGTTCAAATGCCACATCCCTCAGCTGCCAGCTCTCATTCGGTCTGTTGAGACTCATGGGACCACTCAAGGAGACGCAGCACGGAAGCCAGCAGCCGCCTTTGGGTCACAAGACATCAAGAACTCCTGCTCTCCACTGCTCTCTTCCACTCACACATGTGCCAGCCAAAGCCAGCCCTGCAAAAGCAATCAAAGCCATCCCTAAGTGCCACCGCTGAGCCCACCACCAATGTGATTTCTGCAGATAGCCAAGAAATAGGCAACAGCCCCGCATGGTTCCCAGAGAAGGAAGATGAGACTGATTCTTTAATGAGGATGCAACTGCTGGACGATGTGGAAGAAGTGTTTCCTAAATGAAGCAACCCTGGACCTGAAAGCCTATGGCAGTTCCTATCATCAAAAGGCTTCCGTAAGTCAAGAGAGGTATCTTAAGGAAACTAAAATGCCTTTCAAGTGCTTGTCCACACATTATAAATATTTCAGTGCAACTCAAAACTTCAAAGAAAAATGGTCAACATATATCTGCTTTCTGTAAGTACTGAAATAAAAAGGGATACTGCTTCGAGGAAGAAGAATAATCAACAGGAAATAAAAAAGAAGCTTTCAGAGCTATAGATGGCAAATATAAACTGTATTTTCACAACATGGACACAAAAAGGGCCACAGTCACCCCAGAAGATGGATAAAGGGAGTGCATTCTGGGTCAGCTAACCCACAGAAGGGAGGAACTAAGCACCCAGTCAGGCATGCTGCCTCGCTCCTGGGTCTCAAAGATGTTTTTATTGTCTGATCCATCCTGTGACCTCAGCAAATAGTCAAGTGAGAGTAGCAACCTGAACTCCTATTTTTTGTTCCATTTTTATTTTTTATTAGGACCTGTGTGTAGTACATAAGGATCACATTCCTCCTGGGGAGCTGGTACATGTGCGTGCTGACACATCTCAGTTCTTTTTTCCTGCCTTTCCCCGCCCTTCCCTCCTCACACCCTCCATCTCATGATAATGTCCTAACTTTTACTTCAGCACATATAAAAACTGGCTATCAGCACTTGGGAAATGTTTTCATCCTAAAGTGTTAGGTCTAGAGGTTCTGTACTCAACATTCTCCCAACTTACAGAACAATATAGGCCTCTTTGCTCCATTTGTCCCATGAAGAGAAATTTTAGAAGACACACAGGGAACTGGCAAGTTCCTCAGAAGGAAGGTCAGGGGTAAACGCAGTCAATGTTAAGACCTCTAAGTCTGCCCAGGTAATGACTGCTGCAAAACAACAAACAAAATTCCCTAAGGTGGTTTTCCAATCCCATTCATTCTCTCTGCTTCTCTTAGGAGTATTTCAGAAAAATGGGATCCTTTGCCATATTCTAGATGGTTTGTTCATTGTCTAGTGACTGTCTTAGCTTGGTTTATACATCTCCTTGCAGAGTTCATCCCCCAGGGAATTGTGTCCAAGCCTGTGGCTTCCATGACTACCCAAACCCTAGAGACCTGGAATTCTGTCCCTGCCTGATCTTCCTCCTAAACACCAGGCTTTATATCTCTAGGTCCCCTGGACAACATCACCTGAAAATTTCAAATTAATTTTCTTTGCTCCTAAACCTACTGTCATTTCAGTAGTCAATAGCGAAGTGGATAGTATCATTACTCCTTTAACTTTATTATTTCATTACTCCTTTAACTTTGTGGCTAATCACCAAATTCAGCAGATGATTTTTCCTCCAAAGTCTTGACCCGCCCCTTTTCTCCATGCCCACTGCCACGTTGATGTGCTTACCATCTCTCTCATCACCAGGATCTCCCCAACTCTAGCCTTGACCTCATTCCCTCCTCCCAAAATGATTTTACTAAACTGCAATTCTGATATGTCATTCCCCTGCTTTCCTAAATCTCCATTATAAGAGCTACTGTATTGTCTGTGGTGTCTGTAAAATTATTTCTCCATTAGACTCTCAGTTCCTTAAGGGAAAACACTGTTCCTTTCCATTTTTAATTCCACAAGTGTCTATTGCCTACTATATTGTAAGGTTTCAATAAGTACTTGAGAAATGAATGAATGAACATTATTCAACCTAGGTGAACAGTCAAGTAATGGGCATTCTATGTCTATTCATTTTTTTTCTTAAATGAGTTACTTTGTGCTACAGTATGGATTTTAAATGTCCCTCAAAGTCCCATGCATTTATAAAGATCTCATCCCCCGGGGCTGGGGATTTAGCTCAGCGGCAAAAGCGCCTGCCTGGCAAGCGCAAGGTCTTGAGTTCGGTTCCCAGTACCGGAAAAAAACCAAAAAAAAAAAGATCTCATCCCCAACTTGGTGCTACTGGGAAGTGTTAGAACCTTTAGGAAGTGGGGCCTTAGTGGGCAATCTTTAGGTCATGAGGGCATGCCCTTG